ACCCACCCGTGTGTAATTACTACCCGCCTGTAATACACAATACGCATTTGCACTAAAAAATTGCACTAAAAAAAATAAAAAATAAAATCTGAGAAACGGTGAGACCGCGAAAGGTGAACCCCCCCCTCCCCAAGGTGTCCGGGTTTTCACAAACAGAAATATGGTCACCCTACACTAGACGGTTTATGGGATTTGGGAAAAGCTTAATAGACCAGTTAACCCCGTTAGCGCCGCATTACATATGTCATGACCAAATAGCAGCGATTGGTTAAATGAAAAATAGTACCATCCTACCGTCAAGCGAACGAATTCCAACTCTTCGAAGTCAGACGGTTTCTTACGAAGTGAAACCGTCTGACGAATCAGGCTACAAACACACTGCATGCGTCAGCATTTACGGGAAACCTCTGTACAACCAACGCTTTCGATTTATTCTAATGAGGATACACGCGTCCAACAATCACGTAAAGTGTCAAAAGTAGATTGGATTTTATTTTCTGAAATCTACGCGCGCAGGACATGCTGGTTTACACAGGACTAGTGCAGACATTGTGGTCCTTTCCCTTCACTTTAAATGCATTTTAAAAATATCAGCATCCAAAACATGCAGTCTGATGAAATTAAAAGAAACATTGTGGAAATTCTCAGCACAGGAGACAGGGAAGCCAAAGATGTTCATTTTGTCTTCTTATATCCTTTAACTTCTTGGGTTCTTTTTAAAGACAATACAGTAAAGTGTATTTTACCTTCTTGACATGTTTCGGCTGCTGCATCTTCAGAACTGTCCTGGTGTTGGTGTTGACGTGTCGTATATCAGCTGTTGTTACTTCCTGTGGGCGTGGTCGGACCTGATGGACCTGCAGGTCGCTCAGACTGACCACGCCTCCCGTCGCCCGGTGTTCTCTGGAGGAGGGTGTCCCAGGTTCCTGATTTCACCGTCCTCCTTGATCCGGCGTCTGAACTTGTTGTTTTCCGACCCAATGACCCGAGCCCCGTCCCGATCCAGAATGTGCTTATTTTTTTTTTTTTTTTACAGTGGTTCTGATATGGTGGATTTTAAGTTTTCCTGTTCTGCTTTGTCTTTTTGTGTTCTGGTGAGTCTCCCTGTTTCCTTTTCGCATTCCTTTTGGTGTTCCTTTTTTCGAATGTGGAATACCCGGCCTGTTTTTTATTTTGATTGCATGATTTGCATTGGATTTCGTAGATGGCGTTGCATTTTTGTTCTTGTGGGATTTTGTCCTTGGGGTGTACGAGCTGTTGGCGGAGTTTTGTGTGTGTGGTTTGACTGCAGTGCTTATGTTGTGTTTTTTCATGGCTCTCTGGATGGGTTCAGTTATTCCTCTGATGTTCGGTAGTGTGATTGTGTTCTTATGGTCCTGCTGCCCTCTGTTGGTTTGTTGTGTCTTTTTCCGGGGTTTGTTGATTTTATTGATAACTAAAGGGCCGTTCACACCAAAGCTTCAAAAAACGCCTTGACGCCTCTATTTGGACACCTTTGCATTTGAGTTTAGACGCCCCCATCCATTACCCTGGAAACAAGAGCCCGGTCCCGCTCTTTTCCTGAAACAATGTCAGACCAGACTGAGAGACTTTAGTGTTTGTATGACATAAAACATCAGTGAAGGAGATCGGGTCGACGACTGGGGCGTATTTATATATTTATACTCCACTAATGACACTGGATCAGTCCTGGTTTAGTTCCGGTCTAGTCCTGGTCTAGTCCTGGTTTAGTCCTGGTCCGGTCCTGGTGTAGTCCTCGTGATCTGCTTGGTGATTGTGGTGTATATATTTATTCTCCGCTCATGTTTGTGGTTCTCATTCTGGTTCTCGGGTTTTTCTTCCTGATAATTACGTCGCTGCGTCACTGGATACTCGTCCCTGATTGGTTGACGCGACACGTCTGACGCGAAAAGTTAAACATTTTCAACTTCTTGACACTGACGCCTTGGACGCGCGTCTAGAGCGTCGACGCCAAAACACTCAAGACTCGCCACGTCGACGCCAGATTCGCACCGCGCTGACGCCAAAGACGCGCTGCAAAAACGCAGAACGCTCTAGTCACGAGTCCACATCGACTTTACATAGAAACTGGACGCTTTGATGCCTTGGTGTGAACGAACCTTTAAGGGCCGTTCACACCATAAATGCAAAAGTGAATCAGATGTGTGTGACTCAAACCTCCATTCAAACTGTTTCCCAACGGAATTGAAAAATAGTGAAAGGTGAAGGCGATGGGCAGGATTGATCCACAGGAAGAAACAAAAAGGAAACATTTGACGGACTAAATCATCCCGAGTTTGCAGAGAACATTTCCGGGGTTAGATATAACTGATGAAGGAAATTATAATGTATAAGTCTATATCGAGCATTGGTAGTGGCTGATAAACTTGACATAAATTGGACCAAATATTATCTTCAATTGTAATGTTTAAGTCTGATTCCCACCTCTCCTGAGATCGATACAAGCCCCCCCCATTGGGTGAGCAGGGTGGGCATGGGGTTTTTGTTTTTCAACTGTTCCCTTTTTTGTGTATTGTATAACTCAAACAAAAGCAAAAATTAAATATTGTTCTATTTCTGTTCATTGTTTCCCCCATTTTATATTTATCTTTTATCTTTTTATATATTTCAGCATTTTTGTTCATTGTTCTGCCATTTTTAAAGTCACGTGGAGTGGGACAGATTCATATGTTTATTTTTTTTTTATTTACATTTACACTGATTTAGGAAAGATTGATGGAAATAATATTGATGTCATAAAAGAGTCAAAGAGGTCTGCCAGTCCGCGCTCTTCTCAGATTCACCACAGACACAGAGGAATCTTCCCTCAACACTCCAAACCCAGGAAACAGAGGCTCAGTGAAGGAGGAGCTGAAGGTGTGGAGGTGGAACAGTTTTCCATCAGAGAGAACCTCATAGAAGGACAGAGATCCAGCCTCAGAGTCCAGGAACACAGACACTCGACCTGAGGAATCGGAGAAGGAAGAGGTGGAGAAGGCTGTTTCTCTGTTGTGATGCAAACAGTAATATCCATAATCGACCCTCAGACTCCAGGACTGACGATTGTTTCCAAACCAGCACTCATCTTCTCTCTTTCCTCTCCATCTGATTCCTCTGTAACTCACTGATATATCAGTGCCCCACCCGCTCCACTGCACCTCCCAGTAACAGCGCCCCCTCAGGCCAGTGCAGCTCAGGACCTGACAGCAGTCTGTAAATCTGTCCTCATGATCTGGATACTGCTGCTTCCCTCTCACACGGGTCACTGTCCGTTTGTCCTCAGACAGTTTGAGGTTTCTGTGAGCTGTGTTTGGATCCAGAGAAAACTCACAGGAATCTGAGGACACAAACACATGACATCACTTCCTGTTCCTGATGAATCTGAAAAGTTTTTTTTTTATATTTTAAGGTGTAATAATTGCTGTCAGAAATATTGCATTATTAACGAGTAAACGCAAAACAATTTTAACGTTTGTCAGTTTCAGAGTAGTTTCACTATAGTTAGCTCCTCCCTGCAGGCAGATATAAGGACCAGCGTCTGACCAGAACTGAAGAGGCAGCTTGGATGAGCTGCGAAACTTATTCAACCAAATACACTTTTCTCCATTTGAGAAATTGAATTTCTCCCTTGCCAATTTTAACGGCATTAATTATTTTAATCATGCTGCTGGACTTATGCAGCATGACATGTAAACAAACAGTGTCGTGTGTTGACGTCATCGGGCTGTGGCCCGGTTCGGTTGTGCAGGTGTGAGTGTGGAACATAGAACCCACAGCAACCAACACTGTTCAAAAGTCCCACTGTGATGTGCCCTTAGTACAGCGGCGTTGTGACAGACAAACACAGTTTGTCTAACTGCAGATCACTGGACGTCCCTCGGTCATGAGAACTACCTCAGGTCAAAGCACATTATTTCACCCACAGTGGGAACTTCAGTCACTTTGACTCTTCTGAAGACAGAAGAGACACTTCGCTCACACTGTCAGAGCAATTCATGAAAGTAAAACATGAGAGGAACTTCCAACACAAAGTTGTCTCATTGACAGTTATTATGGTTTCCAGTAAAAAAAAAAACATTTGCACAAGGCCTATCCAGCTTTTTATGTTTAGAAGAGCATTAAAATGGTGATTAAAGGGACAAGAATGTGCGATAAATTTGTGATTAATTGTGTTAACTATGACATTTATGAGATTAATCAAGACTAAACTTTTTAATCTGTTAACAGCACATAGTAATAATCCATCTGAACAATAACAATCATGTCTCAAGTCTCTATGCACACATTTGTAGCTCAAATCACATGAATGTTTCCTCTGTAACTGTGAAGATTTAAAGTCTGATAAAGTGACATAATGTTAATGTTCCCATGAACTGAATGAAATACAGAGACTCACACTTCCTCAGACCTGGGACCATCCAATGTTCTCCAGCAGGATCCAACCTGAAACACACAAGTCCAGTTTAGACCAGACCAGAGACCAGGATCTGGACCGACCATGGACCAGAGACCCACTGAACCAGGACCCTCACCTGAGAGACTGCAGGGGGCAGTGGGGGTCGTCCCGTAGAGCGGTCAGGAGCTCTGCTGAGGGTCCTGGATGGTTGTAGCTGAGGTCTAACTCTCTCAGGTGGGAGGAGGCGGAGCTCAGAGCTGAGGCCAGAGCAGCCCCGCCCCTCTCTGAGACCAGACATCCAGACAGCCTAAAGACACAGAATTACACTCATGTGGACACAAGGGGGCAGAGTGCATCATGGGAGCGTCTCACCTGAGAGTCTCCAGTCTGCAGGGGGCGCTCTTCAGTCCAGAACACAGCAGCTCCACTCCTGAGTCCTGGAGGTCGTTGTTAGTGAGATCCAGATGTGTGAGACTGGAGGAGCTGAGGACTGAGGCCAGAGGAGCACAGCTGTGAGGAGACAGACCACAGCCACAAAGACTGAGGACAGAGAGGGACATTAGAGACTAGAACCTCCACACAAGAGTTTAAATACAGTCTGGACTCACAGGACTTTGGTGGAGGCTCTGACCACCGGCAGCAGATTCAGGAGAGCTGTCTCTGAGCCCTGGTATTTCCTCAGATCAAACTCCTCCAGGTCTGAGTCTGAGGACAGTAAGAGGAAGGACAGAGCCGACCACTGAGCAGGAGAACTTAACAAGGACCGCTGTCCTCCTCTCATATACTCTTGTATCTCCTCCACCAGACTTTGGTCGTTCAGTTCGTTCAGACAGTGGAACAGGTTCAGACTTCTCTCTGCAGACAGACCCTTTTCATTCAACTTCTGTTTGATGTACTTTACTGTCTTCTGATTGGTCCAGTCACTTTCTGTCTGAGTCAGCAGACCCTGCAGCAGCCTCTGATTGGTCGGCAGAGACAGTCCCAGGAGGAAGCGCAGGAACAGGTCCAGGTGTCCGTTTGGACTCTGTAAGGCCTGGTCCACAGCAGAGTGGTAGAGATTTCTCAGTCTAGTCTTTCTTTTAAACAGTTTTGGAAGATGTGACGTCATGTGGACCTCCAGGAGGTTCTCTCCAGAGCTGTAGAAGGTCTGATGGACATGAAGAGCAGCCAGAAACTCCTGCACACTCAGATGGATGAAGCAGTAGACTTTGTCCTGGTACAGGCCTGGCTCCTCTCTAAAGACCTGTGTGAACACTCCGGAGTACACTGAGGCCGCTGCAGCGTCCAGCCCACACTCGCTCAGGTCACTCTCGTAGAAGATCAGGTTTCCTTTCTGCAGCTGCTCAAAGGCCAGTTTTTCCCAGAGACTTCACCATCTCCCGTGGTCTCTGGAGTCCAGTGAAGGTCCTCCCCTGATCCCTGGTGATACTTGATGTTCTGGACTTTGGCCTGCACCACCAGGAAGTGGACGTACATCTGTGTGAGAGTCCGGGGCAGCTCTGGTTCTGTTTGTTCCAGAAGTTTCTGTAGAACTGTGGAGAGGATCCAGCAGAAGATCGGGATGTGGCTCATGATGTGGAGGCTGCGGATGCTCTTGATGTGGGGGATGACGACTGTGGCCTGGTCTCTGAACCTCTTCCTGAAGTACTGCTCCTTCTGTGGGTCGGTGAACCCTCTGACCTCTGTCACCATGGAGACGCACTCAGCAGGGATCTGATTGGCCGCGGCGGGGCGCGTGGTTATCCAGAGGAGAGCGGAGGGAAGCAGGCTCCCCCTGATGAGGTTCACCAGCAGCACGTGCACTGAGGTGGACTCTGTGGGGTCGGTCAGGACTCGGGTTCGGCTGAAGTCCAGAGGAAGTCTGCACTCGTCCAGACCGTCAAAGATGAAGAGCACCTGGAGCTGTTGGAAGCTGCAGAGATGTTTGGATGGACTGAAGAAGTGGTGCAGCAGCTCCACCAGGCTGAACTGTGTGTCTCTGAGCACATTGAGCTCTCTGAAAGTGAACGGGAACAGCAGCTGGAGGTCCTGGTGGGCCCGGCCTTCAGCCCAGTCCAGACTGAACTTCTGAGTCAGCACTGTTTTCCCCACGCCGGCCACGCCCTTCGTCAACACAAATCTGATTGGCTGTGGTGAATGTGGGCGGGGTTTAAAGAGCTCTTCACATGTGATGGTCTCTGGAGCGGCCGGTCTCCTGGACGCCGTCTCCATGAGTCTGACCTCATGTTCCTGGTTGACCTCTGAGGCTCCGCCCTCTGTGATGTGGAGCTCTGTGTAGATCTGGGTCAGGGGGGCGGAGTCTCCTGCTTTAGCCACGCCCTCAAACACACGACTGAACCTCTGCTGCAGATCACACTTCAGTTCATCTCTACAAACTCCAACAGTTTTTCCTAAATAAAGACAAATTGTCAACTACCAGGAAAGAGATGGGTCCATCGTGGGACTGTCCACTCTGGTCCATGCGTGGACTGGAGAGAGAACTCACCTGGAGCCGCTGCAAACCTCTGTGGGTTGTATTTGTGAACGACCTACAGCTCAAACCATAGCCCGGGGAACAGTGGCTCTAAACGGTAAGTTATTCATGTTTTCTTGTTTTGGCCCTTGTTTTTGCCTGTAAACATTTTCTAGTTTGCATGGGTTGCATATAAACATGATAAGATTCAGATTAATTGGGCCTATATTTGAATATAGGAGCAAAACCGCTTTGACTTAAAAATTTGAGCCTTCGGGTGAACATTTATTTTTTTTTACTTACTTTCAATTCTCATTTCACCTTGGTAGCTGCTGGAGTTTTTATGTTTGAAACCGAGGAAAGATGTGCGTAAACTAGGCTTATGTGATGTTTAAAGTACACACACAGAAACTGTATGCTCTGGCTTTCTAAAAAGATTAAATAAAAGTTTTGTGAAAAGACTAAAAAGGTCACAAAGTTAAACTTCTATCATTGCACGTTCCAGCTCAGAGTTTCATTGACAATCATGGACATTATGAGATTTTTACTTCGTATTTGTTATTTGACATGCAGCAGCTGAGTTAACACAGAATCATCTGTGTAAAGTTCGGGTACGTGGTTGATATGGGTCCAAATCGGCCTGTAGAATTTATATTGCGTATAAACGTAGAGCATGTTGGACACTGCTTCACTGTTTGCACTGGTCAGTCTGTGCTTCCATCACCTCATTCACACTGCACAATTCACCTGAAACCCCGAAAACAATTTGCACCACCCGCATGGCATATGCCACAGTGCTTTACTCGTGCATGAACATGCCTCTACATAGGGTTAACATGGGAATCACTTGCACAGTTTGCACGTGATGCGTTCGATGTGAACGTCTGTTTACTCTTCATGGACACCATCAGACCAAGTTACAGGTCACGTTTCTGGAGAAATGACCCTGCTCACAAAGAATGCTCTTGTTTTTCTAAGAACAATAAATCCATCCATCTGTTTTCTTCCGCTTATCCGGGGCCGGGTCGTGGGGGCAACAGTCTAAACAGGGACACGTCCTCCAGCTTCTCCGGTGGGACCCCGAAGGGTTCCCAGGCCAGACCAGAGACACAGTCCCTCCAGCGTGTCTCCCAGGAGGCATCCGGGACACCTCAGCTGCTCCTCTCAACATGGAGGAGCAGCGGCTCTACTCCGAGCTCCTCCCGTGTGACTGAGCTCCTCACTCTATCTCTAAGGGAGCGCCCAGACACCCTGCAGAGGAAACTCATTTGTGTCGCTTGTATCCGCGATCTCGTCCTTTCGGTCATTACCCAGAGCTCATGACCAGAGGTGAGGGGAGGAACAGAGACTGACCAGTAAATCACCACAACGGTCCGATTCACCAGTATCGCAGGGTGTTGGACGCTCCAACAGAAAAGTGACACAGTATATTTAATTTCACACGTGTGATGTCCATGTTCTATGTGCACATGGTTTGAACATCAGTGTGTGTGTGTGTCTCTGCTTCTTATATAAAACGTGTGTGTGCGACTGTGGATGTCAAAACATTGGAATTAAAAATACCAATGGCATTACACATAACAACATTGTTATGTAAATTCCTGGCAAAGCTATTACATCTCCACAGAGATAAAAAGGTGATCAACCCTCTAACAGAAAAGTGGCTTAGTGCACCTTTAAATTAATCAGTTTATATCCAGCATCTGTTCCTCAGGTGGATAAAACTCCCTCCTAATGTACGGGTCATAGTACTTTCTGTGAGCCTCAAACACCTGTAGACTTTTGTTACTGTGAAGTCAAGTCTGGTGTGGTCTGTTCCTCAGATGGACAGTAACAGAGTTCTTACTGTTCTGCAGGCGCTGGGCCAGCTGCTCCTGGTCCATCCTCCTCAGGAAGTCCAGGGTGATGTTCAGAACCTCTCTGCTGCTCTGCTCCTCCTCCGCACTCTCAGAGCATTCTGGGTAATCTGAGGCCAGGAGCCTGTGGAGCCTCTGCAGCTGCTCTTTGACAAAAGTCAGGACGTCCTCCTCCAGACGCTGGAACAGAACAATAAGAGAAGAGTTTTAGTCAAAGAGAGCACCTGAGGAGCACCCAGAGAACCCCACACATGCTGCGCTCGTGGGGTACTCACCCTGAATATGGCGTCCAGCTGCTCCTTTGGGCCTGGCTCCCTGTCAAACAATAAACTCATCATCATTTATTTATTCCAGACTCATGGTCCATAAAAGAACAGAATAAGACAGAGACAAGAGTAAAACAGGGTTATAAAAGACAGATCAGTGTTTCCATAAAGAGCAGTGTTACTGCACAGAACTAAACCTGACACTCACCAGCATCACCACCACAGAGTTCACAGAGTCATTTAGGCCACAGATGGATTTATACACCAGGTTTGACATCAGAGTCTGAAAAGTGTTTCTACTGTGATTCTGTCCCACCTGAACTCGTCTGTCTCAAAATGAGAGGAGCTCCAATAAAACACAGGACGACTGTTTGCACTGATGAAGGACGAGCAGCAGGTGGCGCTGTCATGAGAACATGTTCAGAGCTCTGGGTTAAGAAGGTCTTACCTCTGGTCTTCAGGAGGAGCTTCTCTAAATGTGGGAGGAAGGTTTCTGGACTCATCACTTTTCAGAGACACAGAGCTGGGAGCAGGTTCAGGTCTGGGTTTAGACCTGGTACCAGGTCCAGGTGGGTCCATGTTGTAGGAGCTGGAATCAGAAGAAGAGTCCATTTGAACAGAACATACAGAGATGTCTCCTGTTTAGAAGCTCTGTTCTCCAGATGTGGAGTTTCACAGCTGCAGGGACAAGCTCTGATGGTCAGGAGAACTCGAGGTCACCAAGACAACTCAGACGTTCCAGAGACCAGCAGTAGTACAAGTTTATATTATTCAAGAGAGTTTTTAGTTACAAACCAAAATTGTGGGGGTCCATAACATAATTAAACACACCAATGTTCCACAGTATGTCACATTACACTCCAGTGCACTTTGAGGTTGGAGGATCAGCTCGTGGAGGTTAAAGGTCCATACTCTGTTATCTGATCTATGTTCTAATATGTTCTAATGTTTCCTCAACACAAACAGTCCTGGAGATGTGTTTTTGTTTCATTCACTCATGTTTAACACACAAATCCTGCACATTGAGGCTGATTATTCTCTCAAACAGAAAACACTCTGTTCCACCTTGTGATGTCAAATAGTAATATAGGAAGTGCTCCACTGTGTTTTTAAACTCCAAACACTGCTCCTTCATGCATTGTGTTTGTTTAAGGATGAGCTGTTATGTGATGGAATGACTGTGATGTTTTTTTTTTTTAATTTCCTGAATTAAAACAAGTTAGACAATTGATTTGTAGCATTCAACAGACACACACACACACACACACACTCACACTCATCTAAAGTTGAAAATTGTCATTTATACATTTTTCAGAACTTCATATTTGTACAGATAAATGGAAAGAACATAAAGAGTGAATAACATGAGGAGACAGTCACACAAAAGTGAAAAGTCCTGTTCAAATGTCTCACCTCTGTTCTTCAGGAGGAGCTTCTTTAAATAAAGGAGGAAGGTTTCTGGAGTCATCACTTTTCAGAGACACAGAGCTGGGAGCAGGTTCAGGTCTGGGTTTAGACCTGGGGCCAGGTCCAGGTGGGTCCATGTTGTAGGAGCTGGAATCAGAAGAAGAGTCCATTTGAACAGAACATACAGAGATGTCTCCTGTTTAGAAGTTCTGTTCTCCAGATGTGGAGTTTCTCAGCTGAGTTCTGAGTTCTATTTAGGCTGAGTTCTTCTCTCAAACAGAAAACACTCTTATGGTAATACAGGAAGTGCTCCACTGTGTTTTTAAACTCCATACACCTTCGTTAGAATCATTTGGATGATTTCAGCCCTGAAATTGCTGATCTCAACTGAACTAAAGGTAAAAGGAGCTGTTCACTTGAAAACTGCCACTTCCTGCATTATGTTTGTTTAAGGAGGATCTGTATGTGATGGAATGATTGTGATTTGTTAGGGTTAGGGTTTCCTGAATGAAAACAAGTCAGACAATTCATTTGTAGCAATCAACACACAAACAAACATCTTCATCCAAAGTGTAAATTCTGCTTTGGAATCTAGACATTTGGACAATTTGCAATAAAGTGAATTTAATTTTGATTGATTGTCATTTACACATTTTTCAGAACTTCATATTTGTACAGATAAATGGAAAGAACATAAAGAGTGAATAACATGAGGAGACAGTCACACAGTAACAGCTCTACTCAGTTTGGTCTCTGTTTATCAGTGTGAAAAGTCCTGTTCAAATGTCTCACCTCTGGTCTTCAGGAGGAGCTTCTTTAAATAAAGGAGGAAGATGTCTGGAGTCATCACTTTTCAGAGACACAGAGCTGGGAGCAGGTTTAGGTCTGGGTTTATTTCTGGTTTTAGACCCGGGTCCAGGTCCAGGTGGGTCCATGTTGTAGGAGCTGGAATCAGAAGAAGAGTCCATTTGAACAGAACATACAGAGATGTCTCCTGCTGCACCCAGAGTCTGATCTGTCTGTGTCTCCCTCTGCTGGTCACATACTAACATTACACTCTTTACTTGTTTCTGAGTTGCCGCAGGAAAGCCCTTTGTCCCAAATCAAACTCTGCAGGTGAGCGCTGAGGCTCCTCTCTCGTTTAGTCAGATCATAAAAAACATCAAATGTTTGGCCCATTTTCCGTGATGTCGTCGCTCTGTTGCTCTGGTCTTCCCAGAGTCACTGCGAACACAAAGAGCAGCTGAAACTCCAGGAATCAACTTTGGTCAGACTCAGGATTGTGTCTTAAGATAAATATGGAGTTAGATTCAGCTCTGGATTTCAGGATAAGCCTGGACTTGTTAAGACACGTTGATGAAACACTCCCCAGGAGAAACAGACACATTACAAACAGAACTAAACAAAGACTTTTTATTTAGTTAGTTATTTATTTATTAGATCCCCATTAGTCTTTACTCAGGTATTCTTCCTGGGGTCCAAGTTGGCATAATTTACAATAAAATGTTCCATTTTAATAATAAAGAGTATACTGCACTACACAACACTACTACAATTATAATATATCCAATAATCACAATGCATGACTAATGACTAGATATAATTATATACAATTTCCAATATATTTCTTTAACAATTTCTTAAAACTAGGTTCGTGCTTGTGAATAGTTAAGGTTTGGGGGAGCGTGTTCCAAAGCTCTATCGCTCCGTACAGAACAGTTCTTTTCAGAGCATTAGTCCTGGGCAGTGGAAGTATAAAATGTCCATGTGAAGCTCGTCACATTAAACTAAAACTACTTCTACGAAAACTTGTCTGGTGATGGAAACGGCTCGCTTTTCCTCATTGGAGTTATTATTGCTTTGTCTTGAATATTCCTCAGTATGGCATTAAATGTATCCGATTTCATGGAGAAAAACATCACCAGGTCGAGTCACATGTCAGATCTATGGAGAGGTGACCCCGCCCACAGTACAGCTGCATGTTTTTCAGCAATAAAATCACATGTAACTGAATAAATAAATGCAGATAATTATGTTTAATGCTATTTTGGAACATTCTAGACAAAACATATGAGCAGTTTGAGCTCCCTCCTCCTGAAAAGTCACATTGGACATCTGTAATGAATATACAGCAGCCCTTTTCATATTTAATACATGGAATTTAAAAGTGTTAAATGTAAGTCAGAAATGTCCATAATTATTAATAAGTTACTAAACCCAAATTTATGTTTTATGTTTGATCTGAAAATCAGATACTTACTTTGTCAGCGTCGTCTCCTGATATTTTCTCTCCTGTTCCACCTGTGGGACCAGTTCCACCTGGAGTCATGTGACCTCAGGTGTGTGTGGACAAGTTTATACTGAATCTGCAGAACACACGTGCAGCTTTACTGTGTCCAGATTTACAAGGTGCGGCCTGTTCTCGCTTTGTCCACGTAAAAATACTGATTAAAATAATGTATCCACGGCCTCTAGGGGGCACTCCGACGCAGTGAAAGAATGTTCTCTGTAAAATGTGTTTTTATATTGATTTTAATCTCATGTTTTCCTTTGAACACCAATGACGAAAGGGATTTATAGACGAAGTGATAAAGGGCAGGTTTGTGTGAGAGCGGAGACATGTTCCATCTTCCCACAGCTCTATGTTCCCTCATTTCTACGATTTTTTTTTTCCTCAAAATTAAACTCTAATTCAAGTCATTTTTATTTTTACGCCACATTTAAAGGGATGATTCACAGTCATTTCAACCTCGGGTCCTTTGCACCACGACGTCTACATTACATCTGTAGTCACCTGCTGCTGGAGAATAAGTTTGGTGTAATTGACGACCAAACTGGAAGAAATGGGGATAAAATCTGATGCAAATTGTGGATAATAAAGGAAATGTGGAAACATAGGCCCTAATTTCAGAAAAAAAAAAAAAAAAACAACTGAGAAATGAGGAAACATAAAGCCGAGGGAACATAGGCCTGTTCCCTTTTGCGTGTGATTATCACGTTCTAATTTTATTGTCAAATCAGCAGATCTAAAATAAAAATCATCTAGGCTACATTTTTAAGAAGCTCAGGTTTGAGGGAACCATAGACTATAACTGTGCAAATTATTTATCTGCATTTATAAATGGAAATATAAAATAAGCCATTGAAATTGAAAACCACTGTAAATATTTTCTTTTCAAAGTTAGGCCCTGTGTTCCAACATTTCCTTTATCATCAATTTGCATAAGAATTTATCTCCATTTCTCCTGATTTGGTCGTCAAGTACACCAGACCTGTTCTCCAGCAGCAGGTGACTACAGATGTAATGTAGAGGTCATGGTGCAAGGATTACTCTAAACCAGGGGTGTCAAACATCCGGCCCAGGGGCTGGATCCGGCCCTCCAAGACCTTTAATCTGGACCTCGGCTGATTTTCTACAAAAATATTTATATTATATTTTCTATTAAAATCTTGCGGTGTTTATCACAGCAGCGTCTCTGTACGTGGCCCCTCCCACCAGAGCAGCACAAATGAAGACTTGTCTCTTTCCAAACGCTCTTAAAGGACGATCGTTTTGACTGTTGACCGTGACACCCTCATCAGAAAAATGTCCAACATGAGAAAAGTGGAGCCGAGTGCAGGATTTTACAACAAAAATGGACTTATTCCTGTTTACATACAAGTTCATGTTAAAACATTGTGTTGAAATTGTATTTTTCTTAAAGTTTCAGGTTGTTCATAATATTATAATATTTGTAAAAGAAAGAGTTCATCAATTAAAAAAGATTTGTGTAATAGATTTGTGTTTCTTTGCACAAATATTTGAACTTATTGTTATTTTCGGGGTTTATATGACATGAGTTTTCTGATCTGGCCCCTTTGGGATCAAAGTCTGTTGGACACGACCCCCGGAACAAAATGAGTTTGACACCCCTGCTCTAAATCATCCCTTTTGTGGTATAAAAATAAAAATGTCTTGACTTAAAAATCTTAGAAATAAGGGCACATAGGGCTGACTCCTTGGAATATGGTGTGAATTGCGCCCGGTTAAGCTCTGAGCTTCCAGGGGCTTCATACACACAGAAGCAGGTACTGAGCAGAGCCAAAATGTGAAACGAGTGAAGAGGTCTGTGCTTGAGATCGAGCTGGATTGTGGATGCTCCCCGGTCTGTGGTCAGGTCTGCACTGAGGCCTCAAACAGTGTAGTGGAGTAACAGATTACATGTACCGGAGTTATGTAATCAGAGTACAAATTATGAGTAACTGTATTCTGTTACAGTTACTGTTTCAGTGAGTGGTAATTGGATTACAGTTACTTTGTTGAAATAAATGGATTACACGGCGGGATTTTCCTGTTTTCACATTTCGGGCTAAACCCCCCCTTTTTTTTTCTGGTAATTCCACTCATTGCTGGACACTAAATCAGGTCCAAACCAGGTCTGAACCAGGACTAAACCAGGTCTAAACCAGGTCTAAACCAGGGATAAAACCAGGTCTAAACCAGGTCTAAATCAGGTCCAAACCAGGTCTGAACCAGGACTAAACCAGGTCTAAACCAGGTCTAAACCAGGATAAAACCAGGTCTAAAACCAGGGCTAAAACAAGGTTTAAACCAGGTCTAAACCAGGTCCAAACCAGATCTACATCAGGTCCAAACCAGGTCTAAACCAGGACTGAACCAGGAATAAACCAGGACTAAACCAGGTCTAAAACAGGATTTAACAGGACTAAATCCTGCTGTGTGGACATGTTTCTTGGTCTTCTATCAATAATATTTTTCATTTGGTTCAGTAAAGTCTGGGCTTTTTATTTTCTTTTATCAGATAAAACATTTTATGTTACAATATCCTGGTCTTTGTTTCTCTACAGCAAATCAAGTAATCCAAAGTAATCAGATTACATTACTCACCTTAAGTAACTTAATGGATTCCGTTACAAACTACATTTTTGGGGATGTAATCTGTAATCTGTAGGGGATTACATTTTAAAAGTAAACTTCCCAACACTGGCCTCAAACACACTGCACGCGTCAGCATTTACGGGAAACCTCGGTACAACCAACGCTTTCGATTTATTCTAATGAGGATACACGCGCCCGACAATCACGTCAAGCGTCAAAAAGATTGGATTTTATTTTCTGAAATCTACGAGCGCAGGACGTGCTGGTCTACACATGGTCCTTTCCATTCACTTTAGATGCATTTTTTTTAAAGATCAGCGTCCAAAACATGCAGTCTGATGAAATTAAAAGAAAGATTGTGGAAATTCTCAGTGCAGGAAACAGGGAAGGCACAGAATTGAATGACTCTTGTGGATGTTTGCTTCTTTTAGAGTCAAGTCCTGCATGTTCGTTTACGTTTTTTAACAAGTATTTTCGAATGAGTTTCTTGCTCTATTATTGGCGATAACGATAAAGTGATGGCCTGCACTTGAACAGAAAACACATCACTCAGATGTTTGGAGAAAAAATGACTTTATTTTCTCAGCAGCAAACAATAAAGACACTCGAGTCACATTTTTCATCAAAACATAATACGAAAGTCTCCAGCGTGACCTGAGTTTGATCCAAATCACCAAAAACAATAAATACGTCACCAATAACACTGCCGATAATAATGAAAGACCAGGATCAGGAAAGAGCAGTGACAGATACAGAAGAGGCTAAAAGTGCCTACGACAGGTTTGGATTTTATAATTTTGACTTAATTTGTTGGATAATACTTGTTGTAAATATAAATGAGAGTTTTACACCAACCAAGACGCAGTTTGTGAAGGAAATGTGAAAAATATGTTGAAAATTGCAGCAAGTAGAGAATTCTTTCCAAAAGTTTGTCACAATTTACACATTTTTTTAAACATTTTTATGTTACTACTACTACTTTAAATGTTATTTCTACAAAATAAACGGCGATTTCCTCTATTTTTATTTGTTTTAGGAGTTTTAGACCAACCACGTCGTGAAATGTTAAACCTAAAAAAAAAAACCTGCCAAATTGGGAATGGGCTCAATTCACGCTTACGTCACAAAAGCGGAAGACGTTTGGAAACATGCGGATGACGACTTCCTTTGGGCTCTGTCGGCGATAGCAGCTCAAAATCTTGGAAAACTGAGAAAATGTTCCAGTTTTCTTCATCTAGATGTTACCGTTTTCTTTCTTTCGCTCTTCTTTTTTTCCTTTTATAAATTGCCCATTCATTTGTGTATTATAATTTGTCTAATTTATTAAAAAGAAAGATGTAATTGTGGCGTTATGTTCAGCAGATCAGCTGTTCCAACTAGGGATGGGCATCCGATAAAATTTTCTTATCAATTTTCGATTAATCATTAACGTTTTTATATTAAAATGATCATTAGTGCTGTCAAGCGATTAAAAAATTTGAGAGATTAATTAATTATGATCTGTAATTAATCTAATTAATCTCTTTTTTAATCTAAAAATTGCTGAGAAAAGCTTCAACTTGAGCTATTTTCATTTAAATTCATTATTACATTATTTTCATACTATCATTAATGTTTTTATAGAAGTATCATCATTATTATTACTGTTACTAATCTGCATAAATAAACTCAATTTTACAACATATCAACATAACGACTCACAGAAAACTAAACTTAAAACCGCATGGCTAATTTGCATAAACTAAGCAAAGAATATGCAAAAAAAACGCTCTTGTGTTGCTGATGTGGTTCAGCTTCCACTAAAGGACACGACTCAGTGGAATATGAGTGTTCTCTCTGTGACAGAGGGATGTTCTGCTGATGGTGAGTCTGTTCTGTGTCTGTGTCATGATCAGACGTGTGCAGGTTTATCACAGATGCAGCGAGAACGAGAATGAAAATTAAAATTCTTTGCGGGAGCGAGCGGAGCAGGACTGAAAAACAGATTTTATAATAACACAACTCGCGAAAAGAGACAGTAAAGTTAGAGATTAAAAATGAGATTAACGCGATTAAAAAACATAATGCGCTAAATATGACTGTAATTAATTCATCGCAATTAACGCGATAATTTGACACTCATAAAAATTATCATTATTATTATTACTATCTGCACTAATCTGCATAAATAAATTCAACTTCACGACATATAAACATAACGACTCTAGAGCCACATCAGCCTGTTTGACATTATAATGTGTTTAATGCAGATTTGCGCAACTCTCACAGATTTGCAACAGCTAAATGCCAATGACCTACTGACTCTAAATCCATATTTTATGAGCCTTTTTTACTCAGGAGCCTTTTCTCCCATCTATGCTGATAAACGTGGACGATGCAGACTGTGCAAGAACGACTACACACAAACGACCTGCCAGAAGTGTAAAGTACTTTTGTTGTTTACAAAGGATAAAAATTGTTTCTCGGAGCACCACACGAAAAAGTGATGTTGTTCTGCCGCTGTAAAGCTGTTACACTGTGATTTATGTTTTCACTGTTATGAAAAGTGGTTTACACATAAAGTTAGCGTTCATATCATTTTCAGTCTTCAGTGTTAATTTACGACACCGGACCAATGCTGCAAATCTGAAACATCCCAGAACGCACTGGATGTGAAGGTCAGGATTGTATATTACTACCCCATATCATAATTTTTCCCAAATATCAGATGTTTCCTGATACTAAAACTTAATTTGAGCCTGAGAGGGTTAAGTGAAGAAAAAAAAAAAAAAACGCTCGTGTCGCTGATGTGGTTCAACTTGTGTTGGATTAAAAGACATGACTCAGGTGATACAGGTTCAGTGTGACCAGATTTATGTTTGTCAAAACCAGGACACCGTACGGGGGGAGGGGGGCGGGGCCTCGTCATCGACATTGAGCGACTCTCACCTGGCAAAGCTTTTGAATGTTTTTCGCTGCTTTGAGGTCCCCGACACACTGGACACTGAAACATATGTGCCTGTTTTTACACTGTGCACATGGACTCACACTAGTCTCGACCGGGATGGAAAGCGGAGAATGTCTTGCACAAGTCATCGCGCATTTGCACTTCAGTATGTTGTAGACTGACCGACTGTTTGCGTCTCGCTCCTTCTGATGCACAGAGACCTACGAGAGTCGTTCAGTTTTATGGCCCAATGAAAGGAAATGAAAACCCGGACATTTGCGACGTTTTGGTCTCCCTACGCTACGCACAGCGACCTACATTCAAATGAACGTAATCGACGAAATAATCATTTAATCGACTAAGTTCCAACCAGAGTCCCGTCCCCCGTGGAAAACTTCGGCAGGTTGTGAAGACGCTGCCGCTGATAAATCCACGGTTTTACCACATGCCCGGTCGTCATCCGCATGTTTCCAAACGTCTTCCGGCAACCGTGAATATAAAATTCTTGGCTAAATCTTAAATAAAAATGAGTCCAACGTGTCATAGGCACTTTAAAGAAACGTGGAGAAGTCACTAATGTAACTGTGAGACTCTGAAATGAACCAAAATCTGCAGAGAAGAAAAACAAAACAAAAACAACGTTAGAGGTTTGGTCCATGTGTGATCAGTGACAGAGAGGAATGAAGACAGTCCGTGTGTCCTTCGTTCATTCGTTTTTCAAAATAAAACCAAAAATAAGAAAATGAAAAAAACAACTGCTTTCTTCGTTATTTGTCTCCAAAACCAAAATGAAAAAACGGATAAGGATTCATTTTTTCAGTTTTTGATTTTGTGTTTAAATGAAAAATGGACAAAATGGAGAAAGGCCGTTTCCAGACTTTTTGTGACTTCAGTGACTGCGATGCCGATGCGATGTCCCAGACCTGGATCAGTCCTGGTTCAGTCCGTATGCAGTACAAAAGTCCGGCATCGCAGTCACGGGAGTCACATAAACAGGAAACGGCCTTTATCTGTTTTTTTCCATTTTTCATTTAAACACAAAATGGAAAACTGAAAAAAACGAATCATTATCTGTTTTTTTAATTTTGATTTTGGAGACAAATAATGAAGAAAACAGTTATTTTTTTTTCATTTTCTTATTTTTGGTTTTATTTTGAAAAACGAATGAATGAATGATACACGGATTGAAGACGTGTGATTGGTCAGTCCGCGTGAAGAGGCGGGGCTTGAAAAAAAACAACAACAAAAAAAAAACACTTCACTTTTTGTACCACTACATTTCAACTTTCTGAACACTGGATTTCTCCGTCCTCCCTCAACACGCGAAAAGGAATCATTTCGTTGGTTTAAAATGTGCAAAATAAAAAGAACCACGGCGGAAAAGTGTAACAGGAGAACAAGTTAAAAAATATAAATAATATAAATAATAAGAGGAGACACGGGTTCGATACAAAATAAAGCACTCATCGGGTTTAAAACAATCCAACATGTGGGTCACCGGCCTTTACGATGTCCTCAATGTTTGTCCAATCGTTCGTGATCATGCTCTAGAATTCGATGTCGTAATTTCAATCTTTTCGACTCAAAAAAATCTCCAAAATTCTGATCCGCAAAAGTTAAACCTTCTCGTAATTATTTGTTTGGGATCTGCTCCACAAACTCGTCATTTTAATCTCACGGCTGCTCGGCTCTCGAGATCAGACGGTATCGGTATCGTTGACGAAGTGGTACAGTGAAGGAGGTGCCTGTTCTCGCAGTGGCTTGAGCGCACTGGCCTCACAGTAGGAAGGTCCCGGGTTCTGTTCCAGAGCGGAGTTTGCATGTTCTCCATTTTCTGAGGCGTTTCTGACCTAAAAACTTAAACAAAACTGCACTTCGCCGGTAGTGAATCACGGCCTAAACCAGGACTAAACCAGGACTAAACCAGGACTAAACCAGGACTAAACCAGGACTGATTCGTGTACATCTGTGGTCATCTGAGCCCACGTCCTCACAGTGCGTGGAGATGATATTATTTAAAGATTCACCGTGCATCTCTTCTGGTGGTGGGCGCGTCCTAAGCTGCCATAGTGTGGAACATTCCAGACAAAACATCATCTCCATGGAGACGAGCAGACAGACGACCCTCCACCTGCAGAGTTACACAGTGCATCTTTAAATCCATCGTTTCCTGTTCCTTGGCGACAGGTTCAGTAAAAACATTTTTGAAGAATATTTAGAGACTGATTTGATATTTTAAATGTAGTTTGCTCAGATTTAAAGTGGAGCTGAAGAGACGTGTTCTTCTGCAGGATCTGGTTAAGACAATTTGGTTTAAAAAGAATCTGAACCAAGAAGAGAAGGTCAATGCAGTGAAACAAGACTAAACCAGGACTAAACCAGGTCCAAACCAGGTCCAAACCAGGTCCAAACCAGGTCCAAACCAGGTCTAAACCAGGTCTAAACCAGGTCCAAACCAGTTCTAAACCAGGTCTAAACCAGGTCCAAACCAGTTCTAAACCAGGTCCAAACCAGGTCCAAACCAGGTCTAAACCAGGTCTAAACCAGGTCTAAACCAGGTCTACACCAGGTCTACACCAGGACTAAACCAGGACTAAAAAAGGTCCAAACCAGGTCTAAATTAGGGCCGAACCAGGTCTAAACCAGGTCTAAACCAGGTCCAAACCAGGTCTAAACCAGGTCCAAACCAGGTCCAAACCAGGTCCAAACCAGGTCCAAACCAGGTCTAAACCAGGTCTAAACCAGGTCTACACCAGGTCTACACCAGGTCTACACCAGGTCTACACCAGGTCCAAACCAGGTCCAAACCAGGTCCAAACCAGGTCTACACCAGGTCTAAACCAGGACTAAAAAAGGTCCAAACCAGGTCCGAACCAGGTCTAAATTAGGGCCGAACCAGGTCTAAGCCAGGTCTAAACCAGGTCCAAACCAGGTCTAAACCAGGTCCAAACCAGGTCTAAACCAGGTCCAAACCAGGTCCAAACCAGTTCTAAACCAGTTCTAAACCAGTTCTAAACCAGGTCTAAACCAGGTCTACACCAGGTCTACACCAGGTCTACACCAGGTCTACACCAGGACTAAACTAGGGCCAAACCAGGGCCAAACCAGGTCTAAAAAAGGTCCAAACCAGGTCCGAACCAGGTCTAAATTAGGGCCGAACCAGGTCTAAGCCAGGTCTAAACTAGGTCCGAACCAGGTCTAAAAAAGGTCTAAACCAGGGCCAAACCAGGTTCGAACCTGCTCTGAACCAGGTCTAAAAAAGAAAGGTCCAAACCAGGTCTAAACCAGGTCTACACCAGGTCCAAGCCAGAGCCAAACCAGGTCTGAATCAGGTCTAAAAAAGGTCCAAACCAGGTCTGAACCAAATCCAAACCAGGTCCAAACTGAACCAGGTCTAAAAAAGGTCCAAACCAGGTCTGAGCCAGGTCCAAACCAGGTCTAAACCTGGTCTAAACCAGGTCTAAACCTGGTCTAAACCTGGTCTAAACCAGATCGAAACCAGGTCTACACCAGATCTAAACCAGGTCTGAACCAGGTCCAAACCAGGTCCAAACTGAACCAGGTCTACAAAAGGTCAAAACCAGGTCTAAGCCAGGTCTAAAAAGGGTCCGAACCAGGTCTAAAAAAGGTCCAAACCAGGTCCAAACCAGGTCCAAACCCCTTCTCACATGTGAGGTGCAGTAAAGGTTCAGAAAATGTAGTAAAAATAATGTTCATGTAAATTGAGAGGAATTATAAATTGTTCTGAAATTGAACACTGGTGGATTTTGTTTGTGATCCAAACCGGGCCGAACCGCGACGCTCCGCCAATCATTCCGTTTTGACTGACATCTGGGGAGGAAGTGATGTCACCAGTAGAAGGAGCGCGACAGGAAGTTGGCGGCGGCGCCTAACCAGCCGGCCCCTCCCTCTGCGGAGCCCACGCGGGTCACGGCCCGGTCCGGGTCCAGGGACGGGCTCTCGTCCTCGGGCAGGTACTCCGGCAAGTCCTGGTTCTGCTCCACCTCCACAGAGCTGTCCTCCGGGAACGGCACCAGCACCTGAGGGACACAGAGGTGATGATGTCAGAGGACCGTCCTTCTCTGTAGATCCCAGAGGATGTAGAGGAGAAGGTCAAAGGAGCAGAGGAGAAGGTCAGAGGAACAGAGGAGAAGGTCAGAGGAGAAGAGGAGAAGGTCAGAGGAGAAGAGGAGAAGGTCAGAGGAACAGAGGAGAAGGTCAAAGGAACAGAGAAGAGAGAAGGTCAGAGGAGAAGAGGAGAAGGTCAAAGGAACAGAGGAGAAGAGGAGAAGGTCAGAGGAGACAGAGGAGAAGGTCAGAGGAGAAGAGGAGAGGAGAAAAGAAGGTCAGAGGAGCAGAGGAGAAGAGGAGAAGGTCAAAGGAGCAAAGAAGGTCAGAGGAGAAGAGGAGAAGGTCAGATGAAGTACCTCTTCTCCGTTCTCTCCTTTGACGACCTGTTGGGCCTTCATGACCTGTGTGGAGGCAATCGCAGATGCAAGAGCCTGAAACAGACACAGATCCTATAATTCTTCAGTTTTAAAACAGTTCTAAACCCGGACTAAACCCGGCAGGTCCGTACCTCGGCCTTCAGGTCCGAGCGGATCCGAACGATGCAGCGTTTCACCGCCATCTGAAACGTGAAGCTGATGACTCCTCTGATCCTCAGCAGGGCCTCCTCACACAGACCACGACGAGTCTGGAACACAAACCAGGAACCAGGACTGAACCGGGACTGAGCCGGGACTGAGCCGGGACTGGCCTTTGGGTGCATTCACACTTGTCCATGGTCCTGTTCTAGTCTTGGATTATTCGAGTTTAGCTTTTGTGGTGCAAGTGTGGACACAAACCAGGACCAAACCAGGACTAACCCAGGACTAACCCAGGTCTAACCCAGGTCTAACCCAGGACGAAACCAGGACTAAACCAGGACTAAACCAGGACGAAACCAGGACGAAACCAGGACGAAACCAGGACGAAACCAGGACTAGACCTGGGGCCTCGTTTATAAAAAACTGTGCAGGAGTTGTCGTAAGTAAGTGCATACGCCTAGTAGCTACGAGAGGCACGCACCAAACCACGCCCCCTCACACCTCCACCTCACCATAAAAGGACAGACCACGCCCCCTCACACCTCCACCTCACCATAAAAGGACAGACCACGCCCCCTCACACCTCCACCTCACCATAAAAGGTCTAAACCATGTCTAATCCAGGTCTAAACCGGGTCTTACCGGGTCGTCCAGCCCGTCGATGTGCAGGATGACGGTCTTGGCGCGCTTGTTACTTGCTCCCAGGAAGAAGTGGGCCTTCCTGCGGGCGCTGGGCGGGTCCCTGGCCTCGGGCTCCGGAGCCGCCGTCGTCTGGAGCAGCTCGTACACCTCCGACGCCAGAAGCTTCGTCTCTCCGGGAGTCGTGGACCTGAGACAAAATTATAACCGTGAAATGAAAATATTAAGAGCAAAGTTTTAAATCTGTTGTCCAAAAAGTTCACATAAATACAGAGTGAGGAGGGTTTAGACTCGTGAGCTCTGTGTGCAAGTCCTGCCCTGTAACGAGGAGGTTGTGGGTTAAAATCCCCGTTACTCACTTCTGGACCACGTTCTGGAGGCTGAGCATCATGCCCAGCTCTCCCTTCAGCTTCTCTCTGTTGGCGCTGCATTCGGACAGATACCGGATCGCCTGAAAGAGACAATCACAAGACGGGATCAGACAAGAGTACAGTTTAGTCCTGGTTTAGTTCTACGTTAGACCTGGTACAGTCCTCGTTCATACATTCAGTCTTGATGTAGAATGTGTTAATCTAACTTAGTCCTTGTTTGGCTCGGTTTTTGTCAGTTTAGTCCTGGTTTAGTCTTGGTTCAATCCTGGTTTAGCTCTGTTTTTATCTTTGTTTAGTCCTTTTTTAGTCCCTGTTTAGTCCTAGTTCAGACCTGGTTTAGACTTGGTTCAGTCCCGGCTCCAGTCCTGGTTCAGCCCTGTTTTTGTCAATCTAGTCCTGGTTCCAGTCCTGGTTCAGTCTTGGTTCAGTCCTGGTTTAGTCCTGGTTCAGCTCTGTTTTTGTCTTGGTTTAGTCCTCGTTCAGTCTCTGTTTAGTCCCGGTTTAGTCCCGGTTTAGACCTGGCATAGTCCTGGTTCCAGTCCTGGGATAGTCCTTGTTTAGCTCTGTTTTTGTCCTAGTTTAAACCTGGTTTAGTCCTAGTCCAGTCCTTGTTCAGTCCTAGTTTTTTCAGTTTAGTTTTAGACCTGGTTTAGACCTGGTTTAGACCTGGTTTAGACCTGGTCCAGTCCTGTTTCAGTCCTGTTTCAGTCCTGGTCCTGTCCTGGTTTAGTCCTGGTTTAGTCCTGGTTCAGTCCTAGTTTTGTCAGTTTAGATTTGGTTTAGTCCTGATTTAGTTCTGTTTTTGTCCTGGTCTAGTTCTGCTCCAGTCCTGCTCCTGTCCTGGTCCAGTCCTGGTTTAGTCCTAGTTTTGTCAGTTTAGGTTTGGTTTAATCCTGGTTTAGTTCTGTTTTTGTCCTTGTCTAGTCCTGGTTCAGTCCTGCTCCAGTCCTGGTCCCGGTCCGGTCCTCTCACCAGCAGAGCGGAGTAGACCACTTGTGGGTTGGGATGGTCCAGGAACAGGATGAGTCCGGGTAGACAGCCCTGGTCCTGGATTATGGCCCGGCGGTTCATGGGGTCCGCGGCCAGGTCCCGGAGCTGGTTCACCACAGCCAGGGCGTCCGGCTCTGCACTCATGCTGCCGCTAGGGGGCGCCCATCCACCTGCGGCACACGGGACGGAGCGGCACACGGGTCAGACCGGAAAACCCCGCCGGCGCTAGAGTCCTGATCCGAAGACGGAAATCTGAACTTTAAACTCACCCAAAAATCCCATATTTCGGAACATTTGTAGAAGTTTGTCAAAAACTGTAGCAGCGCGAGTTTAAACACAAATACACTGATCGATTATTATTTAGTCCTGGTTCAGTCCTGTTTTAAGTCCTGTTTTAAGTCCTGGCGTAGTCTTGGTTCCAGTCCTAGTTTAGTTCTGGTTTTAGTCCTGGTTCGGTCCTGGTATAGTCCTGATCTCAGTTCTGGCTTAGTCCTGGTTTAGTCCTGGTTCAGTCTTGGTTTAGCTCTGTTTTTGGTTCTTGGTTTAGTCCCTGTTTAGTCCCTGTTTAGTCCCTGTTTAGTCCTGGTTCAGACCTGGTTCAGTCCTGGCATAGTCTTGGCTCCAGTCCCGGTTCCAGTCCCGGTTCAGCCGTTTTTGTCAGTCTAGACCTGGTTCCAGTCCTGGTTTAGTCTTGGTTCAGTCCTGGTTTAGCTCTATTTTTGTCTTTTTTAGTCCCCATTTAGTCCCTTTTTAGTCCTTGTTTAGTCCCTGTTTAGTTCTGGTTCAGACCTGGTTCAGTCCTGGGATAGACCTTGTTTAGCCCTGTTTTTGTCATGGTTCAGTCCTGTTTTAATTCCTAGTTCCAGTTCAGGTTCTAGTTCTGTCTTAATCTTGGTTGAGTCCTGGTTCCAGTCCTGGGTTCAATCCTGTCTTAGTCCTGGCATAGTCCTGGCTCTAGTCCTGGTTCAGTCCTGATTCCAGTTCTGGTTGAGTCCTGGTTGAGTCCTGGCATAGTCCGGGTTCTACTCCTAGTTCTACTCCTGGTTCTAGTCCTGGTTCTAGTCCCGGTTCCAGTCCCGGTTCCAGTCCCGGTTCCAGTCCCGGTTCTTGGTTTCAATCCTGGTTCAGTCCAGGCATAGTCCAGGCTGAGTCCTCATTCCAATCCTGGCATAGTCCGGGTTTAATCCTTGTTCCAGACCTGGTTTGGTCCAGGTCACTTTTATATTTATTACCCACGGGCAATTCTGGCTACTTATTTAGAATTTATTATCACCATTTATATTTAATTTTCCTCCTGTGGATCAATAATAATCAATTTGTCTAAAAATCTAAAAAGAATCGTCCTTTTCCACCGATATTCTGGAGCCTGGAGTCCAGCGCGGCCCGGGAGCTCAGTCAGCTGAAGCCGGGCACCAGGGCGGGTTCTACGGTCTCTCCCGCCCCTCGTCCCCGGAGAAACCCTCCCCGCACACCGGCGGACCCTCACCTCACACCGGCCCGTCGCTCCGTCTCTCCCCGCAGAAGCCTCGCCTCTCTCGGGCTCTGGCCTCCGTCACCGCCGCCGTGTCCGCCCCGGAGCATGCAGCAGCAGCAGCAGGCCGGGGCAGAGCGCGCTCCAGCCGCCCGGGCCTCACAGCGCACCGGGGCCCGCCGCTTCTCTCCGTCTCACCCGGAAAAAAACACAAAAAAAATCCAAAATAAAAGCGAATTAAAGGCGTTTTCTGCGGGCGTAAATAAACGCGGCTGCTCTTCCGCTGTCACTCTGGCTGCGCGGCGACGTCACAGGAGCGTGCGCTGTGATTGGACAGAAAAGCGAACACGTCACTTCCGTAAATAAATAAATAAACAAACACGTAAATGGAGAAGGGCAGACTTGGGGTGGACAATAATATAAATAAATAATAAAAATAGAGAGATAAGTAATAAAAAAATAGAAAGATAAATAAAATATAAAAATCACAAATAAAATATAAAAATAAAAAGATAAGTAATAAAATATAAAAATAAGATAAGTAAAAAAAATAAAAATAAGAAATAATATATAAAAATCACAAATAAAATAGAAAGATAAGTAATAAAAAAAATAAAATATAAAAATCACAAATAAAACAGAAAGATAAGTAATACAATTACAGTTGTAGGGAGTATTAACAGTCACATAAGGGTGAGTTGTACAGTTGTAGGGAGTATTATCTGTTACATAAGAATGAGTTGTTGTACAGACCCACCTCTTCTCTCTGTCTGACCCGAAATAAAAGCGAAAAAATCCAAAATAAAAGCGAAATAAAAGTGTTTTTCTGCGGGCGTAAATAAACGCGGCTGCTCTTCCACTGTCACTGGGGCCGCGCGGTGACGTCACAGGAGCGTGCACTGTGATTGGACAGAAAAGCGAACAGGTCACTTCCGTAAATAAATAAATAAACTCGTAAAAATAAAAAGATAAGATATTAAATATAAAAATCACAAATAAAATATAAAAATAGAAAGATAAGTTATAAAATATAAAACTCACAAATAAAATTGTTTCATTATATCGTGTTATTATATTGTCATGAGCAGAAAAAATTACATGAGATTTTATTTGCGTCTTAAAACATTTTGAAATTTTCGTTTTAGTAATGAATAATATTTTTCCTCTCTGTGCCTAGAGATTATTATTATTAGGGTATTTTTGCTTCTGTGATTTTTCGGTATTATAGAGGGAATGTGTCTGTTTTTATTTGTAGAGAAAAAAGACAAAAGGACACCGTGACTACAAACATGTTTCAAACAGACAGAATTGAAAACGAGATTATTTGGATATAATTCGAAATTATTTAATTATACTTTTAAGATGCAATCATTTTAGATTTTATTGGGCAACCACTGCATAAATGTATTGACTGGGTTTACGTTTCTTTTATTTTTATGATTCTTTTATGATTATGATTATGAAAAAAAGGTATAAACAATTCAACAAACGATTCAAACCATGTTAAATTAAAGAACACAGGAAACAGTGTAGTGGAGTAACAGATTACATGTACCAGAGTTATGTAATCAGAGTACAAATGATGAGTAACTGTATTCAGTTACAGTTACTGCTTCAGTGGTAATTGGATTACAGTTACTTTGTTGAAATAAATGGATTACATGGCGGGATTTTCCTGTTTTCACATTTGCGGCTATATCCCCCTTTTTTTTTTTTTTTATTATTGCCAGACACTAAACCAGGTCTAAACCGGGTCTAAAACCAGGTCTAAACTAGGTCTCAACCAGGACTAAACCAGGACTAAACCAGGACTAAAAGCAGGTCTAAACCAGGACTAACCCAGGTCTAAAACCAGGTCTAAACTAGCTCTCAACCAGGACTAAACTGGGACTAAACCAGGACTTAACTAGGTCTAAAACAAGACTAAAACAGGTTTAAACCAGGACTAAACCAGGTCTAAACCAGGTTTAAACCAGGTCTAAAGCAGGATTTAACAGGACTAAATCCTGCTGTGTGGACATGTTTCTTCGTCTTCTATCAATAATATTTTTAATCTGATCAAGTAAAGTCTGGGTTTTTAATTTTCTTTTAGCAAACAAAACTTCTTATGTTCAGATTTCCTGGTCTTTGTTTCTCTACAGCAAATCAAATAATCCAAAGTAATCAGATTACATTACTCACTTCAAGTAATTTAATGGATTATGTTACAAACTACATTTTGGTTCATGTAATCTGTAATCTGTAGGGGATTACATTTTAAAAGTAAACTTCCCAACACTGACAGGAAATAAACAATAACACTAATGATGATTATTATTACTGTATCCCTAATACCAGTGAGCAAATATTCCATTTCCTATTCTTATTATTCCTCTTTCCTCATTGTCTGAAGTTTGTATCAGAGGTTTTGGACATTTCTGTGTGACCCCCTGGAGCAAAGACAACACAATACTGCAGTAGCTCCACTAGAGGGAGACACTCTCTGTGAAGCTTCAGGCTAAACACAGACGCAGCAAAGCCAACTGTCAGTGTGAGAAACTAAGCAGACTTCAGAAAGTTCACATGAGGATCACTCAGCTGTGTTTTGGACACATGTTTCTCTCTGGAGTCATTTTACGGAGGCTCGGTCTCCATCACAAAACAATTCTACTTTTATCGACAACGTTCAAACAAACAGCCGGAGTTCCTGGTCTCTCGTTATTATGGGTTTTCAAAACGTGTAACTATAGGCGAGTTTGAGCTGACGTCATTGTTATTAAAAGCCCGTGTTGCATGCTGGGAAATATTTTGGTCCGAGGCAAAAAACATGGTAGCGTCAAACACAGTGTGTAACCTCGCGTATTTATTCCCGATAATGGTAAATTCCTGCTGCATTATCAGATGCACAAATAGAAGCACAGAAGAAGAAAAATGTCTTTTTCGTATTCTGAGTGAAAAGAACCACTAATGGTGAATTAAACGACTTTCAAACATCCGCAGAGCAAACGTAGAAGATCCTAACAAACCGTGGACTCCAACAAGTTCAACAACACATCGAGACTCTTGGAGGTTTTCATCTTTTCTGCTGTGAATGGCCCAGGAGTTTCCACCAAGTCATTGTGGATATCGCCCAAGTGAATATTTGTCCAGGGACTTGGAGATTCTGACCAGAAATTTAGTTTGGTCCACCTTTTGTCGGGGTTGAAAAGGGTGATTTGTCGTCCGTCGATGCTTATGACCAATTTCTGGTCAAATGGTCTTGGGTCCTCTGCCGTTAGAGTGGATAAATAACCAGGATCAATACCCTTTACGTGCTTTCTCGCTCCGTCCGTCATGTTGAATTAGTGTTTCTTGCCGCCGACCAAAATAATTCCCAGCATGCAACGTGCGCTTTTGTCAACAATGAAACTTGCCTATACCCAGGTTTGAGTCTAAATTTAAATTAGAAACTGAACCACAATTGATCATTTCTCCTGCTGCAGTGGGAGACTCTGCTGTGTACTACTGTGCTGTGAGGCCCACAGTGACAGCAAACCCACAGTCTCTGAACAAAAACCTGTGAGAGAAAACAGCAGTACTCCACACGTCCTCTAGAGGGAGACACTTTCTGATTCTGAACTTCAGCATAGAGCACACAGAAACATGACAGGACGTGACAGGAGCCAGACTGTAAGAGAGGAGCAGACACAGACACTTGAGAGGATTTGAGCTTTTAAGATGGAGTGTGTCCTGTGTACACTGCTCTCAGCTCTGGTTGTGCTCCTGTGTTCTTCCCCAGAGTGTAAAGGAGAAGACACAGTGACCCAGCCAACAGGAGACACCTCTGACACTCAGGGACACACAGCAACAATACTCTGTACTTTTACAACCAGCGACTCAGGTCCAACTCTGTTCTGGTACAAACAAGAAGGACGAGGAGCTCCTAAATACATGTTAAAGAAAACTAAACTATCATCGTCGTGGTCTAAGACAATTAAATCTCCAGAGTTCAATGAAGAGCGATTTGAAGTTGAAGCTGAGGGAAACTCTTTCTCTCTGAAGATCCAGGATGTGGATGTGACAGACTCTGCTGTGTACTACTGTGCTCTGAGGCCCACAGTGACAGGAAACACCAAAACTCTGAACAAAAACCTCTGGAGCAAAGACAACACAATACTGCAGTAGCTCCACTAGAGGGAGACACTCTCTGTGAAGCTTCAGACTAAACACAGACGCAGCAAAGCCAACTGTCAGTGTGAGAAACTAAGCAGACTTCAGAAAGTTCACATGAGGATCACTCAGCTGTGTTTTGGACACATGTTTCCTTTAATGGCAGCACTGCTCCTGCTTTTGTTGAGTGGTAAGTCTTATTGAAACCTATGTTCACACTTTATTACATCCACTCAACACTTACTGAAGCACAGAGCAAGAAGCAGCAGGAAATATGTTCCTAACTTCTACATTCATTTGTTTTCATGTAGGAGTCAGATGTGAAGAGCTCACTGCTCTAAAGCCTGAGGTCTGCGCTTCAGAAGGCTCCTCTGTCTCTCTGGGATACTCTTATCACCAAGAACCATCGTTCAGTGATTATTTCTTCTGGTATCGACAATATCCAGGAAAACCTCCAGAATTCTTGATTTCATATTCTGGAACTGGAGTTTCAGTAGAGGGGATGTAAAACAATTCAAGTTTGATGTAAAAAGTAAAGTCGTCTCTGTGCTGGTGTCGTCTGCTGCAGTGGAGACTCTGCTGTGTACTACTGTGCTGTGAGGCCCACAGTGACAGCAAACCCACAGTCTCTGAACAAAAACCT